CGACCTGCAGGTCCGGGAACTAAGCACAGGCCCTCGGCCCGGCGGTGCCCCTGCCCCCGCCGCCTGGGATCGGGGTTCCCACTGCGCCTTCTGGGGCGATCTCCTGTTTTCTGAGCCCAGATCAGGCTCTTGGAAGAAAATTCAAGTTTGTACATTTTTTCCCCACAGGTGAGAAGCGTTTATAATAGATTTGTATTTTTTTCAATTTTGTGCTCTTTAGACATTTAAAAGGAAAAAAAAAGTTTTGCTTTTTAACTTTTAGTTCCGATTTGCGGTTTAACAGCCTCAGATCCTCTTCCAGAGCCCAGCGTTTGTGGGTTTTGGTGTTTTTTGTTTTTTTTCGTCTTATTTATGGAGAAAAACACGGTCATTTTGTCCAACACACTGTGAGGCCCCCACTCAGGCTCCGCCCTGGCCCTCCCTTGGTACTTGGAACTGAAGTTACAGATGTTATATTAAAACAATAATTAATGTACACACCTGGTTTTTTGCCTTATTATGCAGAAGTGTAAGAAGATTCTTCAGTTTGTAAAGAACAAATGGAACAAATGTAAATAGTCTATTAATATATGTGACGTTATTAAATTCTGAGTCACGCACACTTTACCCCACGTCCCCACCGAGCCCTGTGTTACTGGGGCCACCAGCCCCGCCTGTGGGCACGGTGACCCCTCAGCTATGCCGGTGCCCCGGGCGGGCGGGGGGCGGGGGGAGAGGAGCAGCACCCCAGCTCCGCACCGGCCGCCAGCGCTGGCCTCTGGGACACTCTGTGGACCCTCAGAAACTCCGGGTTTTAGAAGCGAAGACTCTACATCGATCACAAAACATCGACTTCTGTCTGTCTTCTCCGACGGCATCAGCCAACCCCTGTCCAGCGTTGTCCCTCCGACCGGCCAGCACCTGGCGTGGGAGGGTCTTTTGGTCTCAGCGTTGCAGAGCCACACGGGTCCCCTTAACGTCCCTCCGAGAGGACACCTGGGGGCACCTGAGGTCTCTGTGACCCGCCAAGACCACATCGCCACCTGGTGGCCGACCTTGGGATTGCGCCGGGCCAAGCGGGTGTCGTCGTTCTTCCTTTGCAGGTGAGGGGTTAATGTGCTGCCTCCCATGAGCACCCGACCAGGGATGGGCCTCACAACCTTCAGGTGTGTGGGACCCTGATTTCCTGTGTTTCCTGTACCGTCAGCACTGTTTACAGAGCCTTTTCAGTTTGGGATAACTGACATTTTTAAATATATCTTCATTGATTATATAAAGGGAGAGGGACAGCGAGAGAGAGAAACATCAATGATGAGAGAGAATCATAGACCGGCTGCCTCCTGCACGCCCCCCACTGGGGATCGAGCCCCCAACCTGGGCCTGTGCCCTGACCGGGAATTGAACTGTGACCTCCTGGTTCATAGGTTGATGCTCAACCACTGAGTCACACCAGCCCGGGTTCAACTGATTATTTTTACTTGCAAAGACAAGAGACACTTAAGCGTCTCTGTTATGGAACGCCGAGGGGAGGGGGGCGTACGGGGACGTGTGGCCTTCCTCTGCCAGGTCACAGCTGGTCTCTGGTTCGCACGACTTCGGCTGCTTGGGGGTCACTGTGGCACCAGATCCGACCAGACCCTGCTTTGTCATCGCCTCCACATTTTCTACGGCTCTTTTTTGCCGTTATTGTCGGAAGAACATGGAAGTGACAACACCCACTTGGGCTGCATCCGTGGTTTATTGGTGGAGTCATTGAGCTGCAGGCCCCGGAAGGCGGTCACGCGGCCGGGGAGCTCCTGCTGAGGGCCACCGCACACAGATCCTGTGCGAGTCACTGCAGGACACAGCAACAGTCAGAGCCCGGTGTCGAGCCCCGACCTCCCGCCCCCTTTGCCCAGGGCCTCGGCTCGTCTGGGACAAGGACACCGTTTGGACCATATGGCTCGTTCGGCCACGATTTGGCACATTTCTGTGCACACGTGGGGCCTGGGCACTGGTGATCGGGATGTGGGTGCCCAACACGGGGGTCAGCCACCCCTTTTTAGTCAGACAGATGTGTGGATCCTTCCAGCAGCACATGTCACATCAGTGCTGTCTCGTCCCCACAGCCCATCTCGGCCCCTGTGCCCCCGTCTGCATCCTCCCTCACCTCCGTCTGCCCCCCCCCCCCCCGTGAGGTCCTGCCAGTGGAAGGCTCCAGCCCAGGGTGGTGCAGGCCCGGTCCACTGTCCCCAGGTGCTCCCGGTCCCAGTCCCCGTCCTTCACCAGACGCCTCAGCACGGTTCCCACTGGGCCCCGGATGGACCTGGAACCTTCCTCTGCCCAGGACCGCGTCCTTCCAACACCCCATCCAGCCCCCGCCCA